GTACGTAGTACGTACTACTACTACTACTATACGAACTAAGAATATANATAGAGTAGATATATATATATATTATTATTATTAGTTATATAGTCTAGTATATATATATATATATATATATATATATATATATATATATATATATATCTAGAGCGATAATTTCATGCAACCGTTGTATAGTAATATGATGTAACAACCTTAAAAAACCATCTTATGGCCATTTGTTTGATTCAAATTTTGAAATATACACTCTTTTCATTCTAATGACAATCACAAAAAAAGAAAAAATTGAAAACACAACCTAAAAAGTATTTTTTTAGCCCAATTAACGTAGGCCGTTCATTTTGGTGAGATGCTTAAATCTAGGCTTTAGAAGGATTCTTTCATTTCCAATTTTTTTGGATTGTTTGATTATCATTAAATGAACAATGTTAGAAAAGAAAAGAAAAAAATGAATATGTGTTTATAAAGGCTAAGATCTTGAAATTCACAAAATAAATGATCTAGATTCGCTTTTGGAGGGGGACTCATTTTCACCATATCTAGGGTTTAAATTGAATTTTTGTTTTTTTTTGGAGATTGATTATTGAGATGAAGAGAGTGTGTGAGCAAAATTTGAGGTCATACAAATACCACAAATATGGTTTTCTAGAAGTGTCGTTGCATTATACTATGATACAACCGTTGCATTGGATCATTGCTCATATATATATATATATATATAATTTGGATCTTCTTGAAGAACTTGTAGTTCACCGACTGTTATTTTTCCCTTATCATCAATATTCAATTTTGCAAGCCTTTTGATTAGGGCATCTACCAATTCTTTAGTATCTTCTTTCTTCTTGATCCCTTGCAGGCTAAATTTTCCTGTTTCTATACCTGGTTGTGGCTTGAATAAAACTGCTTCCTTATCCTTTTCTTCCTTTTTCTCTAGTCGTGGAGGTTTCAAGTTATTTAACACATTTTCAATTCTAGTGGTTTGTTTTCCTATTGTTTGTGGGAAGAGATTTGTGTAATTATTTTGTTCTATAATGTGTGGTATTCCATCAAGTTTGGCCATTTGGTTATCTGACTCTTTAGGCCCCAACTTAATATATATATATATATATATCTTTGAAAAAGTCTTCCCAACGCTTATAGGCGAAAATGAACAGTAATTTCGCCTACCCGCATCACCGTCCAAAGTTCATCGCACGGTCACGATTGTCCAGTAGTGATTCATTTTTCTTTTTTTTTTTTATAAATTGGAATGATCTGAAATTTGGAGCATGTGTACATCTTAGTGAGGCGCATCTAATAAAAATTTTAAAAAAAAATAATTTGTAAAAAATAAATTGATCAAAATACCCCCAAAACGTTTTGGGGGTATTTTGGTCAATTTTTTTCAAGTAAAATATTTTTTTTAGATTCATCTATTTTTGATGAACAGACACTCCAAATTTTAGGTCATTCCGATTAGTAGAAAAAAAAATGAAAAATAAAACATTATCGGACAATCGTGATCGTGCGATGAACTTTGAACAGTGATGAGGGTAGACGAAATCACTGTTCATTTTCGCCCGTAGGTGTTTTTTAGTATCTTTCATATATATATATGGGCCGTGATTTCATGCGACAGATGTATAGTAATATATTGCAACATTCTTTAAAAACTATGATAGGGCCATTTGTTTGATCATAATTTTAAAATATACTCTCTTTTCATTCTAATGAACAATCACAAAAAAGAAAAATTTGAAAACACAATCTAGAAAGTATTTTTTTAACCCATTTAACATAGGCTGTCCATTTTAATAAGATATTTAGATCTAGGTCACAGAAGGATTTTTTCGTTTCCGATTTTTTTTTATGGCTTTATAATAATAAATTTGTAAATCAGTACTATTTTCAATCCATAGAAATTCGTATGTTTTTTTTTAATTCTTATTTATTAATTTACATCTTATTTTTTTTTATAAGTGTTAACTGTTAAGTACATTTCCCATGGGACTAGGGCTAACATATGTCAACTCAGGGCGAAGGGAAGCAGGGACAGGCAAGGATGCAGGAATAGATGGTTGTGAATAAACCAGTGCTTTGGTCGGGTCAACTTCACTCGGTCCTTCTTACTCCGCCTTACAACACTGAGAACAATGAACAGACCTGTATATTATTGAAGTAAGATTACAAGAGAGATAAAAAGACGAGAGGACCCTGAGAATGGGTCTCTCTGTGTGAGACTACAAAACAGGCTTATGAAAATGCCCCTTATATGTACCCCTTAAATGGGAAGCGTACCACAAAGGTAGAAAAAACAAGATCACAATGTGTTGTTGGATCTAAGGTTCTATAAGGAAGTTGGAGTTGAGGTTCAAAAACGTGATGGTGAGGTAGTTGCAGGGCGTGCTGAGGTGTCTTCCTAGCTCCATCTTTTGCTAACAGGTCTGCGAACTCGTTTGATGTCCTCTAAGTATGTCTCCATAAGATGTTCATACCCCTGCATACATGCGCAATTTCAAGAAATATAGATGTCAGGTACCAAGGTGGTGTCGCAGATCCATCAGCCCATGCTATAACATTTTTTTGAGTCTCCTTCAACTAGTAGTTGTGAGCTCCAGTCTCTATTAAATGATTTCAGACCAAGGAGCAGGGCTGCACCTTCAGCATATCGTGAGTCATGGTGGCCTAGGTGTTCTGAGTAAGTAAGGAGAATCTGGCTATTATGATCTCTAAATACCCCTCCTGCCCCTGCATGACCAGGATTCCTTATGGAGCAGCCGTCAAAATTGAGCTTGATGGTACCTTCGGGTGGTGGTTGCCAGTTGTTAGCTCTTGTTGGTTTTCGGGGCCTATGTTTGAGTATGCAATGCAAGTGTGTATGGAAGGAGTTGGCTGAGATACCCGAAAAGCCTTTGTGATTGGAGGCCCAAAATATTACCTGGGAAGTAACCTTATGGAAGAGTTCCTGAGTATGGTTAAAATGGCTTTGAAAGATCCTGGAGTTTCTCTCCTTCCAAATGATCCAAATGGTTGCAGCTACTGTTGCCCCCCATAGGATCTTACCTGCCTTCGGCTAGAATGCCGCTATGTTCATCATCTGAAGGCCTTGTAAGGAGGGCAGAGTTACCCAATGAAACAGCTGAAGGACTTGAGTCCACAGTTCATGGGTAGTGCTGCAATGTAAGAAGAGATGTGAATTGGTTTCTTCCTCTCTCTGACACATTACGCATCTACTCAGCATTTGGTGACCCCTTTTTTTCAATTGGTCGACTGTAAATGCCCTTTGAGCAAGAGCAATCCAGTTAAACATTTTAACGCTGGGAGGGGCTATAGTGGACCAAGCTTTCGCGAGCACTGAGTTGGGATTGATAGGGAAGGTTGGTGGATATGTGAGCATCCTATAAAAAAAGTTTCCTATCGGATCTGGGGTCCAGATCATTGCATTTTTCACATGGGTGGGGGTAAAATAGGAGTCGAGAAAGGCCGTAAGTGTAGAGAGAGAGCTTATTTCCTCATCAGTGAGATTTCTACTGAATATTGGGTTCCAAGTCCTTCTACCTCCTTGGGGCACCATTTCCTCTGCCACTGTTGCCTCCTTGTTAGTGGTAAGGGAGAATAGAGAGGGGTAGTTGTCCTTGAGTGGTGAATGTCCTACCCAGAGGTCGTACCAGAATTTAATTCTAGTTCCTTCCTTGGTTTGGAATCTGATGTGCTTTTTAAAAGATGGCAGAACAGCGGAGAGAGACTTCCATACTCCCGAGGCGTTGGGGGTCTGTTGGGTTGTTGGAAACCAAGCATTTTGGGATGCGGTATTTTGATCGCAATATCTGTGCCCACAAGGAATCTGGTTGGGTTGCGAAACGCCACCACCACTTCCCTAATAAGGCCAAATTATGTTGTCTTAGACTGCAGATCCCCAATCCCCCTTGTGATTTGGGCATGCAAATCTTGTGCCAAGGAATGAGGTGTATTTTGTTTTATCTGGTTGGCTAGACCAGAGAAAGTTCCTCATGAGTTGTTCTAGACGGCAGGATACTAAGCTGGGAATTTGGAAGAGCGACATAAGATAGACACTTGTATTTGCTAGAGTGGCTTTGATGAGGGTTGATCGACCTGCCATTGAGAGATATCTCCCTTTCCATCCAGCTAGTCGCTTGTCCACCTTGTCTATGATGGGTGCCCATTGTCTCTTCTTAGGTTTACCCAACCCACGAAGGAGTCCTAGGTAGGAAGTGGGTAGATCTGCCACCGTGCATCCCCAGTTTGGGATAAGGGCTTTTACTTCCTCCGAGGAGAGTGTTATTCCCACCATTTTTTATTTTTCCATGTTAACTTTGAATCATGTTGTCTGATGGAAACATTTGAGAAATAGCCTGAGATTATGTGATTCTTCTAGCGTAGCATCAAGGAAGACCAACATATCATCTGCATAATGTAGGTAAGATACAGTTGGCCCCTGGTGGCTACTATTGAATCAAGATAAGAGACCTGCCTGGTACATTCTTGAAAGCGAACGACTGAAAACCTTAGCCGAGATGGTGAACAGGAATGGGGAGAGAGGATCCCCCTGTCTTAGACCCCTAGACGAGGGAAAAAAACCTTTAGGCGTCCCATTTATTAGGATGGAAAAATGAGGATGGGAGTAGCAGCCTCTCATCCACTTTCTCCATGTATCCTAGAAGCCCATTCTCTTCATTGTTTCTTCTAAGATTGACCAGTCAACTTGGTCATAAGCTTTTCCCAATCTATTTTGAAAATCAGACCTGATTTTTTGGATCTGTGCCTTGAGTGAATACATTTGTGAGCCACGAGCGGTCCATCTAGAATTTGTCTACCTTTGATGAACGCTCCCTGAGATTGTGAAATGACCAACGGCAAGACCTATTGTAATCTAGTGGCCAACACTTTGGCTAGAATCTTGTAAGAGAAGTTTAGGAGACTGATAGGTCGAAAGTCTCTTAGTTCCTCTTTCCCTTCTTTCTTAGGCACCAGAGCTATAAAAGTAGCATTAAGGGCTTTGTGAAGGATACCCCTGTAGAAGAATTCCTCAAAGAAACTGAGGAAATCTGGGCAGAAAGTTTCCCAATATCTTTGGAAAGGTGCTATCAAGAAACCATCTGGACCAGGTGCTTTGTCTTTGGCTAGGTCCTTGACAGCTCTGTGAATTTCTACCTTAGTGAAAGGCCTCTCAAGCGAAGCCACCTTGTCTGCCAGAAGAGATAAGAAATCTAGGTCAGACCTACGGGGTCTACGGGCCTGTGGAGCTGAGTATAGAGACTGAAAAAAGTCTGGTATGGCCTTTTTTATTCCAGCTGGGTCCGTGAGATGATTCTCTCCTACTTTCAGAATCGAGATGGTATTATCCCTCCTGCGACAGTTTGATATCCGATGGAAGAAGCCTGTATTTAGGTCTCCTGTTTTAAGCCAAATGATTTTGGATCTCTGGTACCAGTAGACTTCCTCGTTTTTAGAACTGAGAGGTATTCTAGTTTGGAGGAGGATTTGAGTGACAGTTCAGTTTCTGAGAGAGGTCTAGTTTCTTCAAGAAGATCTAACTCCTTGATGATGTTGAGGAGGGAGCTTTAAGTTTGTGGGAAATTACAGCGGACAGTCTTGCTCCAGACTTTAAGGGAAGCCTTTAGGAGTTGGAGCGTAGATTGTAACCTGTACCCCGCTCTTCATGAGGTAAGGTGGGAGAAGGAGTTCCACCAGATAGGAAGTAGAGTGGATAGGGATTCCACTTGAAGCCAAGTCAGTTCGAATCTAAAAGGTAAATATACTAATTTTAAATCATTTATAATTAAAATTGTAAATATTTAAAAATAAATAAAGAAAGAAAGCTTGCTTCTACTATTTATGAATTGTTTAAATCTATTATTGTGGCATCGATGTTATTTCATTATACATGATTATTTTATATTATTTAATAATATCTATAAATATAAATATATTATATTGCATATTATTAAATAATATCTATAAATAAAATAAATATTTTCTTTATCCAATAAGATAATGCTAATGATAATAATGGTGGTGATGGTGATTCATATTAACAATTATTTTTAAAATAAATTATACCACGTCCAACGCATGTGCATAACACTAGTATTTTATAAAGTGGACCCATAAGGACACATTGCAGATTTGGTCCATCGAGAAAACTATCTACCATTAGTATTTCATGTAAATATGGGGATCTATTTTAGAAGTGTATTTAAAAAAAAAAAAATTTGAGTTTTTAGTAAATGTTTGTTGTGAGAGATCATAAAATCTACTTTTATATTATTTTGTTGGCATTAGTTCCATTGGACCTATCTAATTAACCTATATTGTATGCTATTGATAGATGGACAAGTGGGCACACTTCCCTTTCTCATGCTAATTCTTCCCATGGGAACTTAAGTTACTTATCTTTATTCTCCATCCTTACCAAACTCCAAATCTAAGATGAATTTTTTGATGGACATCTAGTCACTTGCTCATGTTTTATATATAGAAAATATATTGATTACATTTAAAATTCAAAAAAAAAAAAAGAGTGACGTACTAACCCTAAAATTTTAGGTAAAATATGAAATGCTTCGAAAATTACAAAGACGGTCGTCAACCCACTTTTTTTATATTTTTCAAGAATTGCCCTCGATCAAAAATTGCCCCATGCTTTATGGCACTGCCTTACTCACAGAAAGCTAAATATATAAAAAAAATCAAAATTCAAGTTGACTGAGAGGTAGTTTTGAAAAAACAAAAAGAGTTGACGTGAAGCATTTTGTATTTTATCTGAAACTTTAGAGTCTCCAACAAATCAATTTGAAAAGAAATTCTCGAATGGCTACCAGTCAACGTCTCATGGCTACCAGCAATGATGACCTCTTTGTAACAACAATAATGATCTTATAGCAATGGCAATTCATTCGTGAGCGGATCCTGAGGGAATAATTATACAATATGCTCCCGTGAGAGCATTTATACTGATACTTCTTCTTACTATTCTTTTTCATTCGCTCGAGTCAACCACCCATCTCTCCTTTTTTTGAAATAGGAAAAACTTTATTCCAATCTTAACAGTCACTTCTCAGTTCTCAAAATTACAATTGCCATAGTGGTTCAATTATACAAACTCTCTCTCTCTCTCTCTCTCTCTTAACCCTCTGATTGCAAACTTAGGGTTTTCGTTTTTGAGCCATTGAGGAGAAAGGATCATGAGTTGTTGAATTTTGTAGTATTGAGATTCCTTGGATTTGAAATTGGGGTTTTTTACGCAATAGAGAAGAGAACGTTTGTAGGTTAAGGCTTTCTAGTATTTAGAGCCCTTGGGCTCAAGAATTGGATTTTCGTTTTTGTGGAAGAAATAGTATTGGCTTCTTGAAATTTTCGAGCTCTGAGAGTTGGCTGGAATACTGATAGTCTTTCTCTTATTTGGGTCATAGGGTTATAAAAGTTTAGTTCTTGAGAATATATACAATATTTTTGTTTATTTTTGGGTTTTTGAATAGGATGGATAGCAGTGGTTGGA